CCTTTTCCCTAAATCTTGCCTCCAGCAATCCAGTGGGACTAGGTCTGGTTCTTTGGGGAGTGACTATGTAAGGGGCCATGTTCAGATGCCCAGCAAAGATGCCCCAGGAACACTGATGAAGAGCTCAGCCTAAGTGCTTAACAGATCATAAACATTAAATTGTGAGTACAGCCAGCTCACTGCCTCTCTGCCTGTGGATACAAAATCCCTCCAGGTCAGCACAGTTTTCACATCCACTTAGAAGGGAGGATTAGAGGAGCAGAAGTCTCAAAAGGCAAGCACCTTAACAAGAGAGGAGAGATTTAAATCCTGGTGTTATTAATGAGGCCTGGAATTTTTTTTTTTTTTTTTAGACCGGTTATTGGATAACTTGGGTTACTAATATCCCAAGCCTTGGTCTGTCTGTATGAACTGGATGCTCTCGGGGCATCCTCACAGCAGATAGCCAGGCAATGCTCTGTGGGCTTGGTCCTCAGATCCTAGACACCAAAGTCAGTATCCTGAGTCTCAGACCCAAGTCATGACTGTCAACTTTCACAGGACCTCAAGGTCAGCCCTTTGGAAGTTGAAACAAGGGGGGAAATGTGTTCACTAAGTCTTTGAGAAGCAAGATTCATGTCATACTGTTGTGGTGTACTTGGAAGCAGATGTCATACTGTTATGGTGTATTTGGAAGAAGTAAGAATCATATTAACTATACTCGTACATATGTTGCCCCTCTCTGCATCATGCCCTGAGCTGTGTATTTTAAACATAGCTCATGCTATCCTCGCATCAACCCAGGGAGGAAGATTTCACCAGCCTTCTTTCCAATTGGGAAAACGGAGGTTAAGAAAGATCAGAGAGTATGGCCACTTGGCCAGAATCTGGAATCTGACTTAGGGGCCCTTTTTGTTCCCTGGACCTCTCTGGGGAAGAATGTGGGTCACTGGATTTCCTGGGTTCAGCAAAACCTGAGTCATAACGCAAACCAGGAGAAGGATGACCTAGGGCAGGAGGCACCAATGAGACCACAAGCAGGAAAAGGAAAAATTAAAGAGGCTCCCAGGCTTCGAGACTGGGAGGGACTGATGGTGCTATCCAGGGAAAAGCCCAGAATCCCATGGCCCAGAGTTTGGTTTGTTTCTCAGATCACAAGTAGGAAGGGCCTTTGAGTAGGAAAGCAATCATATAGTCAGCATCCTGCCAGACCACAGGGCAGGGGAGGGTTAGAACAAAGCTTGGGAGGCTGACAGGCAGCAAAACCAAAACAAAGTGAAAAATAACAACAAAGAGAAAGCAGGCTCACTAAGCAGCAATTATATAAACAGGAACACAAAGGATCGAAAACCAAGAGCTTCTTTGAGAAAGAAGCTGCTGGGCAAAGTAATTCTTTTCTGTGAGTGTGTTGGTCAGGATGATACAAGGAAGGCTTGCAGGAGTTAGAAGTGCTGAGAGTGTATGTGAATGTGACCGGGAACTGTAATATATATGTGTGTGAGAGTGTGTGTGAGAGAGTGAGACTGAGAGCAAGTTGCTTGTGAGTGTGACTGTGTGCTGTAGGTGAGTATGAGCATGAACTGCACAAGTGTGTATGTATGATTACATGTATTAATGTGAAAGCATGTTAGTATATGTGTTTATGTAGCTGTGAGTATGCAACTGTGTGTGTAACCACATGTGATGAGTGTGTGTGATTATATGTGAGTGTGTGACTGGGTGTGTTGTGTGTATATTGTGTATTGTGTGTGTGATCATGTGTGTTGTATATAAATGACTGTTGCGATCATGTGGTGTGTGTGTGTGTGTGTGAGAGAGAGAGAGAGATACCATGTATATGTTTTTGTGTGTGAACACACAGATATCCTAAAGAGATGAAGAGCTCTAAGAATACAGTCAGAAAGGGTCAGACCATTTTATTCCTGTTATTTATGAGTATAGCTTAATCCTCACATGTCAACAATGAAAGTAATTTAAAGAAAATAAATGGTCAGATGCTTGGCTGGAATTTTTCACAGAGAGACTTAGTTCTGTGATTGTCTGTTTATATGCAGACTCAAGTGGATGCTGAAAAACCGAGAGCCATGTGTCCCGATGTGACATTTCGCCTATCCTTTCTCTCAGCCTCAGTTCATTAATTACTTTATTTCCTTTGAAAGCATATTTCGACTTTTTCCACTTACTTTACCACCTCATAGGATGAATTTCAAGAAGTTCTTCTCCCTTTAAGAGTCAGTTTCAACCTGTCCCCAAGCCCATGCTTGTGTCTGAGAATGAGAATATGCATCTCCTGAGGAGAAGTGACTGAGACGTATGACAGCCAAGGCTGCTGGATGGGTCCCCAAAGATCCCTGAGGACTCATGCTGAACCCAGCACATTCTCAGGGGAACAAACAGTTGCAGACAACACTCTCCCTCCATCTGAGTAAATTGAGAACCTAGTTCTGGTCTAGTTTGAACCTAGTTTGGTCTCATTCTGCCGAACAACTGGCAAGCTGAGTGAAGAACTCATGCTTCTGAGCCTCTATTTCCCCATCTCTAAAAGGAGCTGATTTGAGCAGCATTTCCCAACATGTACTCCGTGAAATCTAAGTCCCACAACAGTCTCCCCCACCAAAAAATTAAAACCTGTGAACATCTTTTTTTTTTTTTAAGAGAATGAAATATTGTATGATTTATCTCCCTCTTCAAGATTCACAATGTCATTGGTAAAGGAAACTGTTTTAAATGATCAAAACCAGTTTCCTGAAGGAGCTCTGCTGGTGTCGTGCCTAAGGCATTTGACTACTAACCAGAAGGCTGGCAGTTCAAACCCACCAGCCACTCTGTGGAAGGAAAACTATGCAAGCTACTTCCGTAAAGATTTACTGCCTCAGAAACCCAAAGGCTGTCACTATGAGTCAGATCAAATCCATGGCAGTGAGTTTTTTATTTTTAAAACCAGTTTCCCAGACATTTATGATCTTGGAACCCCTTTTTCACCAAACACGTATTAACATCTCACAGAAATAGAACTCGAGGGAATTGCTGGATCAGGTGAATTCTGAAGGCCCTTCTAGTTCAACATTCAACAACCTGTGATTACGGCAACATAACCAGGAGGTTATGTTCCAGAGCAGTGCCTCCTTCCCACCATTCTGGAGGGTTTTATCTGCTTGCTTTCTGACTGAGAAGCAGCAGGCCCTACAGAATACTGACATCTCCCTGAACAGCGGTTTCCAAAGGGGAGGCAAGCACCTGGGTGTTTAAGATGGTCCCTGGGGACCATAAGTAGGGACTGTAACTTTTATTTATATCTCATTTTTATCTAAAAATAGGGAAGCAATCAGCTTTTGTTTCATATGTTGTTGTTGTTGTTATGTGCCACCGAGTTGGACCCGACTCATAGCGACCCATTCTTGGGTTTCTGAGGTGGTATCACTACAGTAGTTTGCCCAACCTTCCTTCCGAGGAGTGGCTGGTGGTTTGAACCGCCAGCCTTCTGGTTAGCAGAGCTCCTTTGTTTCATATATGTATGTATAATAATAGGAGCTCTGGTAGCCTCGTGCCTAAGGCATTTGATTGCTAACCAGAAAGCTGGCAGTTCAAACCTACCAGCCACTCCTGGGAAGGAAGGTTGGGCAATCTACTTCCGTAGAGATACCATACCATCGAAACCCAAGGAGGGATTGCTATGCGTCGGGTCCGACTTGACAGCAGTGAGTTTGGTTTTGGTTTGGTATGTATAATAATATATGTATATAATTTATCAATAAATAAACTTATATTGGAAGTATAATTTCAAAAACTTTTCACTGATAGTGCTGCGTGATTGAAAAAATATTTGCCAACCACTGACCTAGAAAACATGGCTGAAGAAAATAATAGTTTATATTCAAAACCACTAGTTCACTGGATGCTTAGAATGGATGATCTGTAGCATCTCACACACGGTGTTTATATCTTAGCTGCTTGTTCTTTTCTTATCTTCATTTATAGTTTTTATAGTTCTTATGTCTACATCAAGCCTGGAGTATCATGCTTTGTACCTCAATTTAAAACAAACTTATTAAGAAACCTAGATTTGTAATGTAATGATTTTGAATGCAAATTCTGGGCCTAAGCAATATTTCTTGGAAACGTTTCCCTTACATCATGAAATGGCATTCCTTGTTGTCTATACACGTATTTCTGATAATCTAACCAAAACAAACAAACAACAAAAATTCTAGCAAACTTTAAACACTTTTTGTAACAATGTTTCAAAACAATCAAATGAAACGCAATACTATTTCAAGCCAATCAAATATTTAAGGAAAGCAACTCCAGTTATAATTTTCCTTAATACTTCAAGCTAAAATCCTATATATAGTTCCCTAAAAAATACATGGGTGTAATCACTTATTACAAGATGTGATGTGCCATCTATGGTTCCTATTGGAGTCTCTGGGTAGCGCAATGGTTAAGTGTTTGACCACTAGCCAGAGGCGCCTTAGCAGATAGGCCTGGCAATCTGCTTCCACAAAGTCACAGTCCTTAAAAATCCTGTGGAGTACAAGTCTACTCTGACACACACGGGGTCAACTTGAGTTGGAATCAACTTAGTAGTAACTGAAACACATGGTACCTACAGGATATAATCTTGACAAACAATGCAACACAATTGGAAAAGTATAGAGTTTTTAGCCACAAAACTTGGTTAACAGTCAAATGCCATAGGTACTACACCACCAGAGCTCCCCCTTCCATGAGTAGATTTCCTTTATCTGCCTTAAAGCAAAATGCTTTTGTTGAACACAGGTATCAGAATGAAAGACTCAATCTACCCTAACTTTGCTCTCTCACTGCTTTGACACAATGAACTATTTGTGCCCAGTGAGAAGCTGTTTTTTGTGAGTTTGAAGCTCACTCTATCTCCTCTATCTCCGGAGGGAAAACAGATTCCCATAGGGATGATGTAACCCCCAGCCCTCCAGGGACTGTCTCACTGTGCACCATTGTGAGGCATGCCCCTCCCCCTCCCATTCAACTGATAATTTTACCTTGGCCTGGGCATTTCCAGCTGCCTTGTCCATCTCCTCCTCCTGGGCTTTCTGCTTTCCACAAGAGCCATCAGGCAAAACAAGAACAAAATGAGTCTTGTAAAATAAGGCATTTTGTCGATGTCTACGATGCAACAAGCTGCTTTCCAGTAGTAACTTGTGGCAAGGCTTAACCATTGATTCTTTCTGCTGCCTCGTGACGGCATTTCTTAGAGGGACCGTGAGGACATGTCTAGCAAGCCTGATTGTCCCAATCTAATATTGATGTTTTGCACACATACACCACCACCACCACCACCACCACTACTACTACCACTACCACCAGCCGTGACACAACCACCAAGGCTGCTTAATGATTGGCCATTAGTCAAGAAGTTTGTCCTCTTTTAAACTCTGCTTCCGCTGAGTCCTAGAACAGCTTTGACTAACGCTGTTATATAAAAAAATATAAATAAATCTCTTGAACATGCCAGCTTTTTGCTGAGATCATTAATCCTTCTCTCTGGCTGCATAAAACCAGTCTGTCACATCAAGTAAAAAGACACAGTCCTGATGTTACCAAACCACACAGCAGGCTGTTGATTCAAGTCCATTGAAAGTCCCAAGGTCAGCAGAGCATGGCAGGCTACTGAAAAAAGACACGGCTACAGACAGGGTCCAAGCTTGCCATATGCTGGAGATCATTCCCAAAGCTGTGTCTTATATATGGGAAGCAGAACACATACCCATAGCAGCTACTCAGCTGCTCCAATAGATTCCACCATGGAGTTAATTACTAATCTCACCATGGGGAATAACTACATTCAGCTGCCCAGCCACTCAACCGAGCCCAGCCAAGTTGACACACAAACAAACCACTACATGGACATTTCAAATAAATGGAATCAAATGATATGTAACATTTCCTGTCTGGCTTCTCTCAGTATAGCATTTTTAAGGTTCATCCATGTTGTAGCATGTATCAGAACTTCATTTCTTTTTATGGCTGCACAATACTCCATTTTATGTGCATATACCACATTTTGTACATTCATTCATCTGTTGATGGACATTTGTGTTGTTTCCACCTTTTGGCTATTTTTAATAATGCTACAATGAACATTCACATACAAGTATCTGTTTGAGTCCCTATTTTCAATTTTGGGGGTGTATATGGGAATAGAGGAAAAAGAGACCTCAGATTCAAACATGTTCTATAGAGACTCTTTCATTGAGCGTTAGGACAAAGACAAAACAAAAACAATCATCCAGGGTGAGGAAAACAATCAGCATGTACACAGTACAGAAAGCTGAATGGAATCCAGTGAGTAACTGTCATGGGGCTAATTACATGTGATTAAAACCAAAGGAAATCATCACAAAATCATGATTGGTGGCAGATTGATTCATCACTGTCACAGGTGGGACTACAGAAGCTTTGCATTCCAGTCACCAGTGATAATTAACACACCATCATTGCATGTTCGGTCAATTTCAGACTGTAGAAGTTGATAAAAATCTTCAGTTTCCTCATCTTTGGCTTTGGTGGTTGGTGCATAAATTTGAATAATAGTCAGATTAATGGGTCTTCCTTGTAGGCGTATGGATATTATCCTATCACCGACAGCATTATACTTCAGGACAGATCTTGAAACATCCTTTGTGATGATGAATGCCACACCGTTCCTCTCTAAACTGTCATTCCCAGCATAGTAGACCATATGGTTGTCTGATTCAAAATGGCCAAAACCAGTCCATTTCAGTTCACTAATGCCTAGGATATCAATCTTTATACATTCCATTTCATTTTTGACAACTTCCAATTTTCATACTTCGTACATTCCATGTTCAGATTTTTAATGGATGTTTGCAACTGTTTCTCCTCCATTTGAGTGGTGCCACATCAGCTTTGGAGGTCTCGAAAGCTTTACCTTATCCATATGAGTAAGGCTGGTTTTGCTCTGATGATGATGCAGCTCTTTCCCAGTCTTATTTTGAGAGGCTTCTGATTTAAGTGACTCATCCTCCTCCTCTGTATTAGACAATGTTTCCGGACTATTCATAAAGCTGCACAGTAATGTATCAGACAGTGTTTCTCTGCTATTTATAAGGTTTTCCCTGGCCAATTCTTTGAGAAGTGGATGGCTTCTTCCTTCTTCCTAGTCTGTCTCAGTCTGCAGACCGGGCTGATACCTGTGCACCATGTGCACCCCACTGGGTTTGAAACACCAGTGACACAGCCTCAAGACTTGAGCAACATGTCACCACAGTAGGACAAACGGACAGACAAGTTTGTCTCCCTTAGCTGTTGGAAACCTCTTCAACCTCTCCTTACCTGGATCCCTGCAGCTGACTCCTTGCTCTGTCCCGGTCCCCCTAGCCTTTTTACTCTCTCCTGCTTTCCCGCCTTGCCGCTTGTGGGGCATGGCCTGGGTTCCCTCTCCTCACCTGGACCCCTGCTGCAGCTGACTCCTCCATAGTGATACCACCTCGGAAACCCAAGGAGGGGTCGCTGTGAGTCAGTCCAACTAGAGGGCACATAACAACATCTACTTTCCACCACACTCTTCCCGAGGGTAAACTGCCCCTCCCTAGGTTTTTCCTGGAACTTTATGCATAGCCACAATGTTTGTTGAAGGGGCAGAAAGAACTCAAATGGTGTCTGAAACTTATGACCACCCTCAAAATGGAGTTAGGACTCCCACAGTAGACCACAGCCTTCCACAAACCAAGTGCTTCAGAATTTAAGCTCTCATACAATACATAGGAGTGGAACTGCTGGGCCATATGGTAATTGTATGTTAAACTTTCTGAGGAACCACCTGTTTCCACGGCAGCTGTACCAATTTACATTCACACCAGCAATGAATGCACAACTGTTCCAATTCCTCCACAGGTGTGAAGTGGTAGGCATCTCATTGTGGTTTGGATTTGCATTTCCCTGATGACTAATGGTGTGGAGCATCTTTTCATGTGCTTATTGGCCATTTGTGTATCTTCTTTGGAGAAAAATCTATTCAAATCCTTTGTCATTTTTTAATCAGGTTAACTTTTCATTATACATTCTAGATTTAAGTCCCTTATCAGAAATATGATTTGCATTTTCTCCCATTCTACGCTTTTTACTTTCTTGAAACTGTTAAGCACACGTTTTTTATTTTGATGAAATAGAACTTACCTATTTCCTCCCCACTTTGGTTGCTTGTGCTTTTGGTAGCATATCTAAGAAACCACTGCCTAACCCCAAATCAAAGATTTACTATGAATTTCTTCTAAAATTCTTCTCCTCAGAATTTTATAGTTTAAGCAACTATATGTAGGTCCTTGATCCACTTTAACTTTTGTATATGAAGTCAGGCAGTATTAATATTTGCCCATTTCTCACAGGACCAGAGGAACGGCCCCAGCAGTTCAAGCTCAGAGCTATGGGAGTGCCTGAGCAGCATCTGCTGATTTGATGAGGTCAGATTAGGCTACAAACCTGGGGGCGGGGGAAGGGAGGGTTCAACTTCTGGTCACCAGGAACCTTGTGTCCTATTTAAAGAGCAATGAGAGCCACGGATCAGATGTGTGTATTAAAGAGACCTGTTAGGTTGTTGCACTAGTGCAGACAACATAATGGCTAATTAGGATAATGGCAGTGAGCATTAAGAGAGCATGAGAGAGATGTTCAAGGAGATAGAATGTACAGGAGATAAGACAAAGAACGCAACCTTGGGTCAAAAACAAAGTATG